TTCTCTTCACAGGGAGACTTTTGGCCATCGCGTTGATCCTGATCATCATCGCTTGAGGTTAACGCCCCGCTAAGCATTTTATATGAACTGCACCGCCACCACTGCGATTATGATGACTACCGCTGCGGTGATGTGTGACGACATATCTCCCGAATTATCAAAGTCTGAATCGGAATCTCCATCATAGCTTGTTGAGCGTTTCTTCTCCTCCTCTTGGCCCTGGATTGTTTCAGTTGACAGAATTTGGCTTGATTTTTCTCTTCTTCCTGCTTCTGCATATTCTGCAGGATCTAGCTTAAACCTTGTCATACATGGAAACATATGGCCCCTCATCGGGTATATCAAATTGAATGCTTTCTGTTCATCGAATCTGAATCGTCGTCATCATCGTCACAACCTAAACCACCGCCGCCGCCATCCGTATCTTCAGCAGAGCTAAGAAGAATCTTCCGTGACCCAGATTGGGGTGTGCTCTATGTAGGCGGAAGATTGACGACTTGAAGGTGTCTGTGGTGGTTCTCCGAACGCGTGAGTGTTTCCGCTCAGTGACATGTTCACTTTTGTGAGATGGTTTTGTTTGAGTTTCCATTGAATTTCCACTGTTATTCGACGATGTTCGTTTTGGCGCGACCGATTCAACTGATGAAGAGATGTGTTCGTCATCTGTTGCCGCCACATTGCTAATATTGGCTGACACTGGAAATTGGCCGGTGGATGCTGTGGGTGCCTCATTTGTTGCAGCTGGTGTGGCATCTGCAATAACAGGTGTGGAATGCCGTTTCTTTTCTCGATGGGTTCACGATCTCGTTTACCACTTTTGTGGCGACTGTGGTGGCTTCCACCACTACCATGCTCTTTGTGTTTGTGACCACCACCACCGCCACTCCCAGAAACTGGTTTATTTGTAGAACTGTGTTGATGGTGACTTGTTTCTTCATCCTCAGAGGAGATTGATTTCGTCCTTAGTATTTCCATTCGTGGTCAGAATTGTTTGGTCATTTTCGATTTAACTGTTGCAACTTTATCGCCCTCCGATTTTATGGCATTTGTTGTCATTTCTGTCGATTCTCCAGAAGGTGTATTACTACTTTGTTGCTCAGTTTGTGATGACGATTGTGTTGTTGCTGTTTTTGATGATGATGTTTGTTGCGATGATGTTTTGCAGTGTGTTCCTTTCCGAGGAAGTAGCCAAATTGATTCGGTGGCTCGATGATGATGACGATGACAAACGACTGTTTGTTATTTCTATCTTTGCTGTGGTGTTGTTGTTCCTTTGATTCCCGCTTCTCGTTCAACACGGCATTACTTGCGTGATTATTAGCAACATGGGACGAAGGAGTCGAGTGTGTATCAATACGCATGCGCTTGGCGTCTTCTGCATGGGCTTCGGCAGATTCGGCGTTACCACCACTGTTGCTGGCATTGCTATCCTGGCTGCTAAGTCTACGTTTCGGGTGCCGCACTGGCGATGTATTTCGTGATGTTTTGCGATTTTATGTTTTCCACTGCTAGCTCCCGAGGCAGATTCAGCCGTAGTAGCAGCAAATTCACCAGTTGTGGAACTCTCTTTAGGCTTCTCTGATTCACCATGTCGAATGTGATCCCCAGTTTGATTGGAAGTTGTACCACCGCTGGAGGATAGATCATTACTAGCATTGCCGCCCTTGTTTGCTGTTCCTGTTGAAGAAACGAAGACGGGTTTTCTTTTCTGCGATGATTTTCCTTGGAGCTGTGAAGTTCGCGCTTTTCATTAGCGATTTCTTCGTGCAGTTTACGTTCACGTTCTTTTTCCTCTCGTGAACGCTGTCTTTCAAGCCTCTCTTTTTCACGCAGCTCACTTTCTTCACGCTCTTTCTTTCTTTTCGCAGTCTCTCTTCTTGCTCTTGCGTTTACGTCTTTCGTTTTTCTTCGCGTTCCTCGCTCCAGCTCTTCTCGCTCCTTTCGTTCGCGTTCCTCACGCTCTTTGCGTTCCCTTTCTTCGCGTTCTTTTTTCTCGCGCTCTCTTTGTGCTGTTGTTCTTTTTTAGTTTGCGCTCGTTCTCTTCGCGCTCTTTCCGTTCACGTTCTTCGCGCGCCTTTCCTCCTCTTTGCGTAAACGTTCCTTTTCTCGTTGCGCACGCTCCTGTTCTTCCTGCTCCAAACGTTCTTTTTCCAATCGCTCTCTTTCAAGGCGTTCCTTTTCAAGTCTTTCTCGCTCTTCCCTTTCGCGTTCTTCTCGTTCCGCTCTTACCTTTCTTGTTGCTTTCTCAATTCTTTTTCGCGTTTTTCTTGGCGTTCCTTCTGCTTTTCCGAACGGCTGGAGGATTCACGTTCTTGCGGTGTTCGACGAAATCTCTTTCGTCCGCATCACTTGACTCTGCGCCGAAACTTGTGAGATTGGGATTGAGATGAGTTGGAATTTTTCCGTTTATCGCTTTGGATGATTTCTTTTCATCGCTGCTGCGATGATTATGTTTTGTGCGATTTATTGCTGTCACTACGCTTACTACCACCACCTGCAGTTTCGGATATTGTGGAAACTGAAGTGGGATTACTTGCTGTTGTTGTTGTCGTTTCAGTGGAGGAACTGTTACCGGTTTGCATTTTCAGCTGCTGCTTTTGTTCTACAGAAACTGTAGCTGCTGTTGTTTTTATGGTTCCCACATTTGTACTGCCAGGAACTGATACTGATTTTGTGAGGGTACGAGGCGACTCCGAGGGAGCTGATGTCGGTGCGGGTTCCAACGGCTGTTGGTACACTCAAGCTTTTCGATAGAGTTGATGTCTTTGGCTTTGAAGTAACATTCACCGTGTGTTGCGGGCGCTGTAGGTGTCGTCAACGAGGCTGCAGTCACTGGCGGCGGTTGAGGGGTTGATGGACTTCCATAGGAGGCAGGGGAGGTGGTTTTGACATTTCTGCAGGCGGAGGTGGTATGGTTGATTGTTTGGCGAAGGGGCTGCAGTGTTTGGCAATGGTGGATGTGTTGGGAATGGATATTGCAAACATTTGCTGCCGCTCGACGCCGTTGTTGGAGCTGGTGGAGTACCAGTTCCCGTTGCACAACCAGAGGAAACAGGAGAAGGCGAAGCCATTGTATTCCCACTGCTACATGTCGCTGTCGTTTTTGCTCCTGTCTGTAGACTGGACAGAGTGGATGAACTATTAACAGATGGAGACATGGATGGACTGTTGTACGGTGACATCGACGCCTGAGGGAGTTCATGGGCGACAGGCTAGTTAAACGCTGTAATAGGGCACCAGATGTTTTGTTCGTGGCATTCCCCGCCGATGCCATGGGCAACGTGTTTCCAACTACCGGCGTCTTTGTGGCCTGTAAATTTGGCAGTCCCGGCGAAGTACAAACACCTACGGCATTCTTCGCCATTTGAGAAGAATCAGTCGATGGTTCATACCAGTGATTTTTCTTTAAACGCTGCAGATCATCATCAATATCGATTTTTTCGCCAAAACCGATTTGACAATCTCCGACGGTTGTATCTCCTTGACATCAATATCGAGGAATTTGTGACGACTGGCGGGTGTTGAAGGCGTTCCACTGCTCTGCCGTACATCACCCGTAGATGATGATGTGACGGCCGACGTTGCCGCTGTGGTTGCCGAATGATGCAGGTCGGTTTGTGAAGAAGAACGATGATGTTGCCAGGTCGGTGGTGTATTACTGAAATCGTGGCGTTTGGCCACATTTGACGCTGCAGCAGTGGTTGAACTACCGCCGCCCGACCAACGCTCGTACATCTCGTCCAAAGTACGTATACGTTCTTCCAATGAAGGGCTACCGCTTGCTTGGCCAGTTACATCAGAATCACTGGAATTCGAGCTGAGAGAACGTGATCTCATCGGACTAACCATTGATGATGACGACGAGGTGTAGCGCCACCACCATGATGCCCACCGCTACCGTGATGATGGTGATGATGAGGATGTGGCCGCCAGGGCTGATATCGTGACGATGGACTGGGCAAATAACATCCGCCACCTGATGATGATGATGTTGTCTGTAATCCAGGCGTTGTTGTGGTTGTTGCTGAGGATGTCGCCGATGTTATAGAACTATGACTAGAATGATTACTGTTAATTCCTCCTTCGCCGCTTCCAACTCCACGATTCGATAAGCGTTTGACAGCATGTGCGAACTAACGGAGTTGGTGCTACCAACTGCAGCAGAAGCAGTTGAAGAACTTGCAAAACCACTGCTGCTGTGATGATGATGATAGGATGTCGTCGCACCCATATTCGAAGACGAGCCATTGTTGCTACGATATTGTTGAAAGAACAGAATGCCAAATTTGGGCAATGGCAGTACCATCGGCTCTCGTGGTCGTTCACGTGGTACTCTACGCGGTTCACTAGGTAAAACTTCTGGCCTTTCGTCGCACAACGGTTGTACCAGGTCGTGAACCATCAGCACTTTCACCGCCGCTAGCCTCGTGTGAGTGATGGGAATGTAATTGATGACCACGACCTCGAGAGGCATGATGATGGAAATCACACCACTGCCGAACGACGACGACGCCAAGTTTGCGTTACCACTGGAGGAGCCCGATGAAATTAATGCGGCATTTGTACTCAGAGCACTACTGCTTCCACTACTTCCAATCACCCGTCTTCTTTTACATGCCAGCGAAGATGATGATGACGATGACTGATGTGGTGGCGGGTGATGGTCACTATTTGAACTGCTTGTACTGCCATGTCGTGTGGATAAATTGCCACTGCCACCTCCTATGCTGGAACTTGCACCCACACCTCCACCACCACCTCCGGTCGCCATATAATCAATGGACGGTCGGCGACTCAACTGATGTTGCTGTTGATGATGGTGGTGATGAGGATTTATTGAATGATGCGAGTGGTGGTGATGATTTGCTTGTGTTGGTATTTGTTGAGACTGTTACTGCATTCCGATAGTCTTCTTACTTCACCCTTGCGATGCAACGAATCATTTAGAAGATAATCACAGTTTGAGTTTTTGTTTTGTTGTTGTGTTTGTTCTTCCAACGAATGAGACTGTGACTACAAAATGAAAGATATTAAATCATTAGAATTTTTGTAAGGAAAAGCTTTAAAAGAAATATTTAATACATACCAATCCACTGCTGGAATTAATGGAATGATGATCAATTTTTATACGCTTGCGCGGGCTTACTATGCTTTCATCTCCACTGGACGGGTACTCTTCGAGCTGTTCCAACAAAACTGCACGTTCTTTTTGAAACAATCGTACATCACCTGAGGAGAACGAAAATAGGTTTTAATAAAATTTTCCAAAAACCTACAATTTGATATTGAAACAAACCTTTTTGTTTTGCAGGACTTTTATCACAACGTCGACGACTTAAAGCCATCTCCAACATATCACTATTGGACTCTTTACCACTACTGTTGTTTACAATAGGACCCAGCCGTGATAACAATGGTGAATCAGACCTTAAACCGATCCCACTGTAAGAGTTCGCATTGGATGATGATGTCGGGTGATTTGACATGATTGCATCTTCGTCGTGCGAAGCTCCTGATCCCTGACTATATTCGTCATATGATCGAAATCTTCGGGTATCGATATAATCGTAGTCCATTGTGTGACGGGAACTGCGAGATCCCCGACTACGAGCTGGGGTGGTGTTACCTGATGTTTGTCCCACAACAGATGGTAAGGTGGTACCACTTGGATTGGAATTGATGGACGAACCGGCAACAATTGCTGATGACAGTGTAGGCGCTGAGGGTGGTATGCCAGCACTACTACTGCTGCTACTGCCAGGCGTATTGCTGGGGGAACAGCCATCATTCGAATTCTGATGTCGGCTGAATGATGAAGCGCGGGAACGCGACTGTGATTCGTAACGGCTAAAACGAGATCCTAGAATGACGTGACAAAAAAAAAATAATAAATTAGCAGATCTTTTTAACCCTCTAAAAGTCCAATAAAATATTCTTTAAAACTTCCAAAATAGATGTTTTATAAGGCCATGGGAAATATTCAACCAATATTAAAAAATACATCAAAAATAAACGTACCTGCAGCTTGCTTTTCCAATTTTTCATAAAATGCATCCTGACATTCTCTGGAAGCAAAGTCCACCTGCAACTTTCGGCCTCGCAGTGTTGCTCCTCTCATCTCTTTTACTGCTGTCTGTGCATATTGTATTTGCTCGTATAACACCAAAGCCAGTTGCCTTTGCCGGTCTATCACCACCTTACTGACCGCACCATATCTCGAAAATTGAGATTGCAAATGCGACTCAGAGATTTTCTCGCCAATACCATCGATCCAAACACAATTTGTAGGCATTGATTTGCCAAAGCCCAACTTTATGCGATTGTTACCCAAATGTTCGCCATCCATTTTGCGCATGGCTTTGACCACAGATACAATATCGGAATACTGACAGAATGCATAGGCGGACATGCCTTGCTTTTTAATGTCGATTTCTATGATTTCGCCGAAGCACTCAAAGTGCAGCCTCAGTTCACTGGCGGTAATTTCCTTTTCCAGATTGCCAATGAATAGGGTACGTGTAGATTTTGGATGGTACTCGTCCAATTCAGCTTCGTAGGGACGAAATTCGTTATCCTCCACATCGTAACCCTGATACGGTTCTACCTCGATCTTACATCCAAAAATAACTTGTCATGAGAAACCTCAAGAGCCTTTTCCACATCTTCAGGTTTCTTAAAACAAACTAGAGCATAGCGTTCAGCATTTTGCCCCACCACCTTTACCCATGTAACTTTGCCATGCTTTTTGTACTCATGGAAAAGACCGTCCTTTAGTGATGTGTCTGAAGAGCGAGCCGGCAAGTTTCGCACACGTATCGCCAATGGCCGATTGTCTTCGGAATGTACAACGGGATTTGTAGATGGCGTTCCCGAACCAGTAGAACTCGAACTGCTGCTACTACTGCTGCAGGCATTTGAGCCACTGGGATTCAAAGCCGACGATGTTCCCGGCACCGCCACGGCAGATTGAAGGCTTCGTGACCCTCCTCGCCCCGCCGGAGCTGTAGACGTACTTGTCTCGACATCTCGACCACCCACCGGACTTGAGGCATGAGAGTGTGACGAGGCAGTTGATGAGGACGACGAGGAAGAACTATGTGAAGAACTGTAGCTACTCGGCGATCGGGAATGCGAACGACTTGACGATGTGGTACTGCGCCCGTGCAGATGCGCATGGACCGCTGCACGAGATGTGTGATGCGAGGCGGATGTTGAAGGATTGTTGGAAGTGGAGGAGGAGTTGGCATTCGACGATGTAGAACTTGAATGTACATTATTGCTGCTGCTACTACTGCTACCTTTGTGATTGTGGTGGCCATCTGTTGATGAACTGCCATTAGAGGCGGCTGCCGCCAACGCAGCGGCATTTAGAATCCCGCTAACGTTTCTACTACTGTCTCCTGCATTTGCTGCTGCAGTCGACGATGATGACGACGACGACGTTAGTAAACTATTATTATGATTATTTGTATTACTACTATTGATTGTACTACTAATGCTACTACAACTACTATTATTTGCCGTTTGGTTGTTGTTATTGTTGTTGGCCGATGCTGCTGCTGTTGATGATGATGACGACGAAGAATTTGAGGTGGTATTAGCGGCGGAAGCGGCAGATGTCGAGGATGAAGTCATTGTTGATGATGCCACCACTCCTGCCGTTGCCGCTGATGATGTTGGTGACGCTGAACCACTGCGTGATGATGAGGAGCAGGACTTTAAAAGTTTATGTTTATTTTTATTTAACAACGGATTTCCGTCTGTGCCGGAGTCGTTGTCTCTCTGTTGATGATGATAGTAGCCACCACTGTGTCCTGCAGCACTTGATGCGTTGCCGTACGACGCTGAATTGTTTCGTGGTGTATTGAAGGCTGCAGTTGTCGACGACGACGATGCTGTCGTCGCTGTTGACGATAAACTTGAATTGCTGTTGTTCTTGTGGGCAGGTGAAGAAACGTATGAATATGCGTTGTATGCAGTGGGATTGTTTGTAGAGGAATTTGCTGTAGACACTTGTGTTGCTGTTGCTGCTTGCGTATCTGTTGAGGCGGCAGTTTGATAATGGTTGTTGATATTTGCTGCTGAGACGTCGGCATTGCCACTGCCACCAGGACCGTTTGTATACGTCGCAGCAGCTTCGTACCATGACGCAGGCGGAACACGATTGTTATGTTGTGTTTGCTTGCAGCGCCACCACTTGAGCTTCTGGAATACACATTAAATTAGATGTTGTAAGAATTTTTGTTTCTATTTTCAGAACTTTATTTAAGGTTTTGTGTTATTATTAATTGTTAAACAATTAAAAATTTTCTGTGCAATATAGAGTGATATGGTATTTGAGAGCTAATAGATACATTTCCACTACAAGATTCTCACTTACCGTTCACTCAATATAGTCGTTGCTGCAGACGAACTGGATGATGACAAACCACCACTTGTAGCATAAGGACCATTTCTGTATACTCTGTCTCTTGTTCGGCTTCTGCTGTTGTCTAAATTGGATGTTGAATTACTACTGCTTTGATAATTACTAATTGTATTATTGCTATTGGAACGTCTTAAATAGGAATCGGTGTCAGCAACTAAACGGGAGTTACGTTCATAATAGCCACTGTTCCGTTCTGAAAAGTTCGGTGGTGATACGTCTTCAGTAGACCTGGTAAAAGTAAAGTAAATTAAGGGTTGTATGTGTTTAAAATTTGAATATATTTCTTAATAATTTTTTTATTACATAGTGTCTTTGCACAATTGAAATTCTTATTCTGTGTGCTAAAGAAAACTGTAAAATATATAAACAAAGTGACATTTGTTAAAACATTTTGACAGTTAAGTTGATCGGTTAAGTAATGAAGTGTTGCCATTAAAAAATAAAATAAAAATCGCCAGTTTTTTTTTTTTGGAGATGCTGTTATCGTTTACTGTTGATGTCTTTATATTATTAGTTGAAAATAATATTTTTCCATTCCTATAAGTTATTTCTTATAAAGCATACAATGATTGGTATTGTTGATATATCACAAAATAAACGAAATGCAAGAACTTTCATTCGAATATACGTAGTTTTGAGTCATGATAGCTCAATTTAATTACGAAAATATTTTTACAATAAGTTGTTTGTATTTATTATTTTTAATAGTATTGAATACATATTAAAACATATGTTGCACTTTTTTTCTTGTTTTTTATTTTATTTTATGCACAAAACAATAACACTGTAAGGAAACGCGTTAGTTTTCTAAATCCTTTGCAACGTAAACGTACTATTAATCTATCTTTTAATTTCTTTTAATACAAACATTGTGTAATATTTTCGGAGACATTACAAAACTATTTGATAATCTTATTTTGTATTTTAATTTTTGAATCAAATCGAGTTAGCGTTGTTTTTAAATTTCCTCTTTTTTATTCTTATACACATGTAAAATCTTTATTTTTCCTTTATTGGTACAGGCAACAGCAATGATTCGATTTTTTAAAACACAGGAAACGATTACTTCTGTTATTTGGCCAATATTAAATTTGTAATTACTTTAATTTTGTGCATTGAAATTAAAAAGAAAAGTATTAAAATTATAAAAAAAAATTTAGGCACATGTTGGCAATTTTCCTTTTAATTTGCTGATGTTATCGTATCCATTTACACGCTTCTATTGAGTTGTTTATTATTTGGTTTCGCCTCGCGTTCACATTTTTCCGAAGCTGATATAGCAGAACATATTGTATTGTAGAACATGGTATTTTTGCTGTAAACTTAACATTTTCTAATACTTCACCAGAAATTAATATTTATTTTTAACTATTTTGACACATCCAAATTAAAGCAGACTTTTTGTATTAATAACAATTTGATGTTTAGATATCCAAATTTACATATTTTTCATTCAAAACACTCTGGATATTTTATAAAGCATTTTGTGAAAATATACATTTTTTAAAAAAAATGTAACTTTATAGTTTTTTTTTTTTAAGATATATTTATTTTACGATATGTTTTATACATTAATTTGATAATATTCACTAATTGTAACCATTTTTTATTTATATTAAATGCCAAAAATCTGTTGTAACCATTTTTCCACAATTCATTCGTGTCATACAAACTTAAACGCCGGCTTAACTGCAAGCATTGACAACACTGATATATTTTTATGTTTCTTCTTTATCCCATTCTTTTCTTTACTTTGCGCCACTAAATTTCTTTAACGCACACCATGTTGTTTTTTCATCAAATTCATTTGGAAATTAAATCAATTTATTAAATATTCCAATCACTATATAATTTACACTTTACCTATGCATAATTTATTAACAAATAATTCTTTAACATTTAGCTTGTTATATTTTTCTTGCGTTTATTAATATAGTTTCACATTAAAATAAACAAGCCCATTCGTGGAGAGCAACACACCGAAGAAAAAAACTACTACTACAATACACTACGGTGAAAGAGAGGAGCGCAATGTTGCTTTTCTGATGTTAGGGTTGCTGCGTGCTTGTTTTAATCACCCGCCGCATACATAGTTGTATTTTAAGGTATTATTTTGTTATGTTGATGGTAATGGTTTTGCATAGAGAATATGACTAAATTAACTATATTGAGAACACTGAATTAAGTAAATAATTTTGAATATTTAACCACTATCCAACTGTATGGCTAAATATTTTGTTTTTTCTTTTGTTGGTAAAGCAATATTTTTAGACTCTATCCAACGGTGAGTCGTTAATGCTTGAATATTGCTTTTATGTGTATTTATAAATAATTTAGGCTATACTTTTTTTACATTTCACTCCAATGATGCCGTTTTAACTTGGTTAAATATTATGTTTCTTTGTACAACTTCGTTTTTGTTATCATAGCTTGGCTATAATTCAATTTTTTTGTTTTACACTTTTTGTTGTATTTTTAATTTTGTTGAGCACTGATCTTTCTTGATTTTTTGTTTTTTATTCTTTTACTTTTATTACATTTTATTCGTTCGTATTCTTCTTTAGTTTTATGAGACCGTGTGTCCCTGTTTACGATGTAAACAAGCTGCGCATTAAATGCAAAATACTACGGTAGAAGAGAAAAAATGCATCCGAAGGCCACGCTAGAATTTTTGGGTTTATTTGAGGGATGATTTCCCACTATCTGGTTATTTGTTAGCAGTGATGAGACTAATGGCAGCAAGCGTACTTTTTTTGTACCTTTAATTTTGTTGGAATTCTGTATATTTGTGTAGTATATTTTTACCTTTTTATTACACTTTCATTTATGTATATTTGTTTATTAATTTAAATTCTACAAAATATTCTTTAATACATGCCTTTAGTTTGATCTTCAAAGCCACACCATACTTTAGTACTAAACAACATAACTCCGTTTCATCTCTGCCTTATGTTTCTTTTCATTTCTCTCTCTCTCGAATTCTGCGTGAGAGTGAGGTGAATTTCATTGTTGTTTACCCACATGTAGTGTGCGTATGTGTGCAGTAGTAGTTATTGTCAGTTTACCTTACCAGTAATGCCAATTCATTGCCACTGATTTATTTAGTTGTGTTTTTTTTTCTTTTATTAGAAACGATCTTGTTTTGTTAAATACTAACATTTTTAAATAGTTTATAATGGTATTTATCAGTTATTTCCTTCTCTCATTTTTAATATAAGCATTCCCTAAATTTACCCCATACCATCAATTTTCATTTCACAACAAAATAATATGCTTGAAGGAGAAAAACAAAAACGAAGAAAACATCCCCCTTTGAGTTACCAGGAATTTATTATGTTTAGCTCGCTGTTTTTTTTTTCGAGACAGCAAATGTGTTACACAGGGATAATAATTAAGTAAATGTATGAAATTTTTGTTCGTGCAGAATACAAACAGCTGCCGGGGGTACATTCGTTGTATTTTCTATGTTCCATCGTCGTCGTCGTCATCGACATCATCACATGTCGAAGCATTGTTTTTGGCAAAAATTATTTGTTGGTAGGGGCGCGTTTTATGTTACGAGAATAACACGCGTTTCAATGAAAACCAAAAGAAAAAAAAACAACTTTTGTAAAAACAAACATGTTATGGAATGCTATATACAGTTAACTATCCAGCAGGAATAGAAAAATGTAGATATTTTATAGGGAAGGCTCAGAGTGGTAAACGTCGATTTTTTGGGAATATTTTTTAAGAAAAAAATATAATAACATAAGAAAATAAATATATTTTGGAAACCCAATAAATTTGAGGAATAGAGTCATTTTAAAAAAAATTATTATTTTTGAGACCCAATAAAAATCGATCATTTTTTTTTAAATATTGCTTTAAACCAATGAAATCGTGTTTTTTTTAATTCGAAGATTTGTTAAAAAATATTTTTTTAATAAAAAATAATAATAAGATTTTAATCCTTTTTTTTTCAAATATGTTTTCAAAACTTATAAATCAAAGAAAAAATAAAAAACAAATTTTTAAAATTTTATAAAAATCAAAGATCTTTGTGTTTTTGAAAAACCATTAAAATTTTTGGATAAAAAACTTATCGTTTTGGCAAGCTATTAAAAGATTTATCGCAAGATTATTTTATTAAAAAAATTTAATTTTTTTTAAAAATATTCTTAGAAAACGACAATAAAAATTCTAAAACTAGTTTAAATATTTTTCGAAAAAATGCTATTTCATGTAAAAAAAAATTAAAGACGTAGAGCTTTTAATTTTTTCAGTTTTTCTAAAAATGTTTTAATTATTTTTTTGAAAAATGTTATTTATATAAAAACAGTTTAAGATGCAAAGTTTATAATTTATTTTTAATTTAAGTTTTAATAAATATATTTTGAAAATGGTGTTTCAAAACCCCATGATTTGTCAAAAAAAAAATATTTTTTAAAAACCATAACAAATTACCGTTAACTTATTACCTAGAAGCTACTAATTTTGAAATCTTTTCCTTTTCTTATGAAAAAGATTTCTTTCAATTTAATTTCAAAATCTGTCATTTCCATGAAACAAAATGTCCTAACTACCAAACTATTCCAAATTTTGACTTCGTTTCGGTTATACATGTTCCCAAAAATGCCACTTAAATTGTGTTATGGAAGATCCGTATTTAAATGATTAATTGCTTATTTTAATCCTCAATTTCGTAAAATGTCATATGCGAAGAGATCACCCAGCAAATGGTGAGAGAAGATCAACAAATATAGGTAGCTTCATTTTCAGCCGCTAGCCGCCAGTTTCATTAGCTAACACGTTTGGCAAATGCAGAGCATACCAAATGCCCTATTCAAATGTAGATAATTTTACGGATCAACCATAACTTGTGAATCCTCCGGACCATTAACAAATACAACAACAATATACTAAGCATGCATACTTGTTGTTGTTTTTGTATGATATTTTAAGCAAAGAAAAAAACAATAGTTTTCTTTATTTTTCGGAAAACAGAATATTTGACTGCTACTGCTGTGTTGAAGGGACACAACAGAACATGTATTCTTTCTCACTCTCTCTCTCGAACACACTCGAGCTACTCTCAGGTATTAGGATTATAATATTTAACTAACGAAATAACAACAATGTTCCAGACAAAAAAGGAATATACCAAAGCAACAACAAGAACGAACAATTCACCAATAAATAATGTCCCAAAACAATAATAACACCAAACAAGTTTGTTGTGTCCTCTG